ATGTCCTTGACACGAGCAGTTTGGGTGGAGTAGGGGTGGGGTGAGAAACCTGCCTGGGGTGGGCTCAAGAGAGAATGGATGAAGAAAAATTGGAGATTCCCAGTTAAGTCAACTCTTTCAAGGAGTTTATTGTAAAAGGAAGGAGAAAAATGGCACAGTAGTTAGAGTAGAAAAAGTCTCGAGAGGGCTCTTTAAAATTTGTTTGTTTTTAAGATATTTATGCTGCTGCAGTTCAGAGCACCCCAAAAAAGTGCACCTTACATCATCACTTTATAGATAAATGACCAACATGAAAGATAGCAGTCATCTTACCTAAGGGAAGTCTTCATTATCTTGTTTTAAACATTAAAAAATTCCTGAGGATCCCACCATGAGATTTTTTGGTAGAATATGGTTCATATTTTGTAGTTATTATTGAGGCAGGAGGGAATGTTGCTTTGTTTTTAAATCAGGTTCCTTTAACCCTCTCCTTCTACTCTTACCAAGTGAAATCATTTTAACATCATTTAATTAATCCAATCAGTACAAAAAAATTTCCCTACAGAAGCCCTTTCTCTTTCTCTGTCCCCAGCTCCTTCCTCCCCAGGCCTGACCAAGGCTCACTGCCGCCCTCCCGTCTGGTTTAACACTGCCTCTTGGATATTCAGCTCTCAGTTTCCTTTGTTGGCCATTTCACAAGCATTTCTATCTAATGAGGATAAACCCACTGATTTTAAAACAGAACAGTAATCATGCCCTTGAAGTGTCTTAAAGTTTTTGGCTGCTCTCAAGGGAAATAATTTTGTCATCACTTAATTTTTTTAATGATTGTTTCTCACTTCTGTAGTCTTCTTTTCCCAATCTGATTAGGGAAAAGATCAAATAGCTTGAGCTAAGTTATTTTTAAAAACAAAAACAAAACCAAAAGTCATCTACATAAATACTTTTTATCTAAATATATGAGAAATGACCACATAAATGTCCAAGGAAATACATGTCTATAGAACATGCATTACTATCTCCAATGCCATTACTATCACAACATCCGTGACAGTAACCAATTTATAAACCTACCTCCAAAAACTCAAAGTGTAATATTTTTATTTTAAATATTTTATGTCTTTGAAGATGGTTTTTATGCACAGAATAGATTTTTCAGAGGTCACTTTAATTTTCAAAATTAATATTCTTGTTTCTTCCTCAAACTTTTAGCTTCAATTTATTCATTTTTTGGCTTGTTTTATAAATTTAGCAAGTTTAACAATCACATTTATTTAATGTTTGTTACAACTTAGAAATTAAATTTCTTTTTAGATTTAATATATTTGATATTCTTTTTTAGTATTTAAATTGACTTATTGGTAATCATCCTTTTCATATATTTAGGCAAGTTATAAGTCTAAGAAATATAGTTACTCTTAAGCTCTCCTAAATTTTATAATATTATTTAAAAAAATTTAACAGATTTTGTTATTTTCAACTTAAAATTACAAATTCAAGTAATTATTCATTTATATATTACATACTGAAAATATGAGACTAACTCGTTATTGTAATAGGTCACATTCTCTTAACCATTACAGATATTAGTGACATCAAATAAGCACAGATTCCTCACGCCAAAATCTTCATCATTTTTAACTTCAACTTTGATCCTTTTAAACACTTCTACATTTAACTTTTATCTGTGGAGTCAAAAGATTGTACCCACTTAAGGAAAAAAAATGTCATCTCAAACAAGTTTAGGGATATAGTCACAGATACATTTTAGGGTTGCCTTCCAGTCTGATTATATTTCTCATCGGCCAGAGATACTGGCTGGGATTTAAGAGGGGAGTTTCAGATGTTACACTGTCCTTCATGATCGTGGCTGCCAGTATGTCGTGGGTCCCAAATCTTAAGGGACAGTTGATAAGACAGCCTTATATCTGGGTTGGATTCATCTCATTATCTAATTCCTCTGTCTATTTGTGAAAGCCAGCCACCTTCTCCCATGCAGCAACATTCTTTGACTTTCAGTTTAAGCTCTAAAGATCTCTGAACTTGATGAGGATCCTGCATTCTTTTCATATTCCTACTATCTCTTGGGGTCACAATTCTTCTAGATATTTAAATGATTTCTGTTTGAATTCTGGGTATCTCTCATAACATAGTTTGACTATGTGGTTTCAACTTGTGAGATTTACAAATGAGGTTCTGTGTCCAGCTCAAACTATGTCTAACATTATTTATAGGAAAAATAGGTCATACTGAATATTTTAGTCCAAAGGTAAATCAGTCAATGACCAACTAAATGGCTCTGAATAACAAAGAGTTTGGAAAAAAAAAAAAAAAAACATGTGGGGCAATAGGGCAGACTCCAAGCGTACACACACTCTGACTCCATTGTAAGCCATTTTTATTTTGTGAATTATCTAATTTAAAATCATAATATCTAACTTCTAGGGGATCCTGTAAATATTTTTTGGAAAATTTATGTATAATATTCTTAATTCTTGCCTCATTCTTAGGAGGCAAGATTTTAAGTGTTTACAAGCAAATTATCTGTGAAAGTATCTTTCTGTTTAGAGGGGTAAGAATTAGAAAGACAGAGTATTGAAGCTGGTTGAATAAAAGCTAAATAAGTATCAAGTGTTCAGTCTTTCCAATGTAAGATAATAGTATTTTGTGTATTTACTAGGAATTCCATAGAAATAAGAGCACACTTGTTTCCTTCGTTCTTCTGTTGATACATTTATAACATATAATATTAAAATCATAAATACCACAGATGCTCAGAGAAACTCATTAGATAGATTGCCCATCAAGATACAGAAATTTACAAATTAAGTAAAATGTTTAGGCAATTACCAAAGGATATGTATCATTTAATTCCCAAATTTCAGAACTCCCAACTCAAGCTGGACCTTCCTTTTTCCAGAGGGTGGGTGTGAGTCCTGCCTGGAGACAAAAAAGGAAGAAAGACCACAGGGCCTTGTGACTTCCCCTGCAGTGGGCATCAGAGGACAGTCAATCCTGTTTCCCAGGTGGAGGTGAAATCACTCGTCCAGTGCCTGTCAGGCATAAAGACAGGCAGAAATCCCTCCATCTGGTCCCCTAAATGTAACCTCAGGGAGAGAAAGAAAGCAGTTCTTCCTCCTCCCCCATAACGATCCTCTCCAAAATTTTATTTACAATGTTTGTACATAGACACACATAAAAATGTGAGCCTCAGTAATGCTAAGCATATTTCCTTCATATCAAAATCCCTTATAATATAATTTATAGCTTATAAATTGCAAGGGATGCTCTTGTTAGATTATTTTTCAGGCATGAACTTTTTGTTTTACCTCTTTAACATACCCAGTAGTTTTTAATTATATGAATGAGTATAAGGATAAGATTACATATAGTAAATTAGCTTTAAAATTGTTGTGCCTTAAGTACTTTTTATTTATTTTTAATTATTTATTGCTTATGGTGTATATTTGAGATATGTGACATCGTGTTTTGATATACATATAGATGGTGAATAACTAAACATTTTAAATTATTTTGAAAAGAATCTAGGTTTACTCTCTCTGTTGTATGGAAAAAGCCAGAACTGAGCAAGTCACAGGCCAACACAGCTTAGATCTTCCTTGCTCTGGTGCTGGGGTTACTTAAGTGTATGTAAGTTATGAGAGGCTGAAGATGAAGGGGACCCTAGAGATGACCTCATCCAACATCCTTATCTTACAGATGAGTCATCTGGGAGACAGAGATAATAATTAACATGTCCTCAGTTGCAGTTGATCTTAGAAGTAGAATTAAGGTTAGAACACAAGATCCTCGATTTTCAGGTCAGTGTTATTTGTGCCATGCAAGGCTGACATTTTAGCATAGGATTATAAGAAAATGTTTTCAGCAGTTATGGATCTGCATGCACACTTTAGTTCAATATGTGAATAATATTTACATGATTTTTTCCCTAATTTACCAAAATTAAGAACGTTTTAGGGGACATAATTTGTTGATGCTGCTCCATCTGAAATTCCTCTGTGAATTAATTATCCTATTTTATATTATGGTGAAGTGCAATCAATATTCATAAATTCATACTTCATTAATATTTGGTCAGGAGAACAAATATTAGATAAATCCAATATTAGTGACTAACAAATCTCTTTTGAGGATAGCTGCTATGACCTCCCGGGGTGAGAATGTCTCTTGAAGAGTTCATCTATCATTATTTTTTTTTCTTATTTTATTTCAAAGTTACTAAATTAATTTTCTTTCACTTATTGTATTTCACTTTTCTTTCACTTGTTGTATTAAATAAATCTATGTAACCAATTATCCTTGGGGAAAATAAGCCTTTTCAGTGTTAGGGTCAAGAGTGCCATGAGTTTGCTTGAAAGCTTATAACTACACTTTTACAACGCCTTATATAGCATTGTCAAGTTATTTTATCATAGTTTGTTTCCAGTTCATATAAACTAAGAATGTAAATTTTTATATTATTATTACTACTAAAGATTTAAACGATATTATATATAAAGGTTCCATGGTATTTATTCTGCTATAATATAGTTTGACCTTTAAAAGTTACAATATAATATTAGAAATTGTTAATTTTGGTAAGTCAATTTGAATAAATTTGGTCGTATTTGTTTTTAAAATATATGAATAACATGGCTCCTTGGTCTCTGATGATGACCTCTTGGAAAATCAATTTACATTGCTGGATTCAAATTTTAGTGGTCAGGATGAGAAGTTGCAGTTGGATATGGTATTTTTGTTAAACTATTGTTTACCAGAACTGATATCCGGATGTTGGTTATAGATGACACTGTAAAGACAATATTTATTTTGCAGTATAATCATATTGCATTACAGAACTTTGAATAACAGAAGTCTGAATTTGCTTTCTTTTAGTTAAAAGAGTCTTCAGGAACCATAATTGAAAGAACTCTAGTAAATAGTAGCGTTATTCATTTCTTTCCTCTTACTTTTTGTTACCAGCAAACCCAGTAAAGCTGAGGGGATTTTTGCTCCTACAGGTTTGGGACGAAAATCTTGCAAAATCTGCAGAGGCTTGGGCAGCTACTTGCATCTGGGACCATGGACCTTCTTACTTACTGAGATTTTTGGGCCAAAATCTGTCTGTACGAACTGGAAGGTAGGAAGCAGTTTCACTGATGCAGCTCATCCACATGACTTTGTTAATTTTGGATTCCAAGAGGAAATGACACTAATTTTCAGTATCATCAGTAAATATTTATTGAATGCTCACTATATAACAGGCATTGATGCTTGGCCTAGGAATTTCTAATAAGAGCAGTTTCCCCTTTCACACTTGGAACACCCTCCCTTAGCTTGTATTTTGCATTGATCTCTCAGAATCTTTGAAAGAATGAAGAATGTGCTGTATCTCCTGCACCTCAGGAAAAATCCCATGACTGTGATGGAAGCTGTTTGTGTGTTTATGTGTGTGTGTGCAAGTACACAACTTTCCCATAGTTGTATAAATCTGCATGTAAATAAATACATAAATAAAATATATATATATATATGTATGTATACATACATATATATAGGTATATGCAATTATGGGAAAAGCAGTTCCCATTGATAGGACAATTTTTCTACAGCAGTGGAATGTCATTATCCAACATTCCAAAGACCCATTCTCTTCCATATAGGGGAGGAAAATCAAGTGTTCTATTATTGAAATTAAAGTGATTCTGATTTAAGGGGAAAATGCACTGAGTTCTTGTACTGTGACTACTTTTATATATCAAATTTTGGATTGTTTATAAAATTTTGGTGGAAGGGATTTTTGAAATGGTTAAATAAGATATTCATGATTCCTGAAATATTTGGCATTTTCTTTTTTTTTTTTTGAAATCACCAGACATATGCTTAGACAAGTATAGAATCAACTGCCCCAGCCCTAGGTATTTTCATGCTTTACCCTACTTGGAGGAATAGAGGACTCTACCAGGTGGTGATGGTAATTGTGGGAGGTGGATATGCTCTTGGATCATCACACATAATCTGCAAAAAGAACACTTACTTTACAATGTAACATGAGTCCACTATGTGTTACTTACTTTACAATGTAACATGAGTCCACTATGTGTTACCAGTGCTGTACTCTAAGTTCTTTTCTTTCTTGATACTTAGATATCGCTCTATTCTCCAGCTGGTCAAGCCATGGTATGATGAAGTGAAAGATTATGCTTTTCCATATCCCCAGGACTGCAACCCCAGATGTCCTATGAGATGTTTTGGTCCCATGTGCACACATTATACACAGGTTATTTCAATTGCCTTGTTAATTTTTGATTCATACTTTAAACAACTACTCTTACTATTTTGGTAGACATGCATTTTCTTAGTTCTGATTTCAATAATGATATATTGGTTTATTGTCACAGATGGTTTGGGCCACTTCCAATCGGATAGGATGTGCAATTCATACATGCCAGAACATGAATGTTTGGGGATCTGTATGGAGACGTGCAGTATACTTGGTATGCAACTATGCCCCAAAGTAAGTACCAGGCTGAGTTATTTCCTGGATCCTTTAATGATGTGAAATATTTCCAGTCTAATAGGCATTTTTGACAGGTAAATTGTATGAGTAAGACTTAGCTATGAGAACCTCTAATCCTCAAACCGCCATCATTTCCATATTCCTAAAGAAATGAGTAGGTTTCTTTTCACAAGAACAGGGATTCTAGCTTAAAATTATAGGCAAAACAATTTGACACATGGGCATTTACTAACTTTTTCTTACCATCTTTCTTTAGTCATGGTAATTGTAAAATAAACACTGTACTTCACAAGCTTTTAATAGCTGTATTAAAGGAATTAGAAAAGAATCTTCTAGGGATTTATCAACACCACAATATCCATCAGTCCCAGAATGTTGGCTCATCTTTTTCACTAGGAAAGCAAAACATTGAAAATGAATCCTTTCTTCCTTTTCTTATTTTTTTAGCTTAAAAAAGTATTCAGTAATTTTATCTTATGACATACATAAAATGCATTATGCAAATTTATCAGAGTATAATATATAATCATATTTATGAACATTTTTTAAAATAGGAGGGTAAATAAACATTTGTCAATATTTGATAAAAATGCATTCTTGATAAAAAATAACTTCAGATGATAAAATGTTAAAATATTTATACACAATTCTGTTCCGATTTGGAATAAATACCGAAATGTGCAAAGGATTTATGGCACTCTCAATGTCTTCCAAAGTAAGTCCCAAACAAAGATTTTCTCCAGCTATTCCAGCATGGGAAGGGAATGAGAAAATATTTTGCAAATAACTGCATTACTCATTTATATGGTAGTATGCCAGTGGCAGTGTTTTTGCAAAGTTAGGAAAATAGTGATTTTCCCGATGGCCCCTCTTCACAATTATTAGAATGAGAAGGTTTGGAAAGTAGGCTATTTATGCATTGTAAAAAAGGCATTAAAACTGTGCATTTGTTTGATATTTTTAGTTTCACACATTGTATTTTTCTGTTAAGCCTTTACACTTTCTCCCTGACATAAATAGGCTAAGTAGTACCCAACTGGTCAAAGAGATTTTTGTTTCATTCATTTAACTATTCTGTTTTTGGACAATGGTTAGAATTGTCTAATATCATTGATGAAATATATTATTGCTTTATATGTCCAAGAGATTAAGATATTGCATTAACATGCTACATTTCGATTGTAATGAAGAATCAATTATTTCTTGAAGTTAAGTTTGAAAGTTTGAAAATCCTGACTGGTAGCTGAGTATAATTTTTCCAGTGCCGATATGAAGTTATCTCAAGGCTAATTGCTTTTCAGTGAAAAAAAAGGAGAGGAAGGGAAGGAGAGAAAAAGAGAGAAAGAGAGATAGAATTATATGGAAAAGGGCAAAATCAAAGAATGAATTATACAGGTACATCAATTGACTGATTTACTTTTGAATATGATTATCCTCTATTCAATAAAAACTATGATTTATGTAAAAATTTAAAATATGTGTAAGAAATTTACATATAATAAGGTTCTAAGTTTTGTTATCAAAAATATGTGCTCTATAATTTCAAAAGGTTATGTAAAATAAATAGAAAAATATGAAATTAAGATAGCATAGTTTGGGTTTATATATTTTTATAGCTTTGGGTAAATATATAGAAAGATTACAAGTATAAAATGGGACAAGATTAGGATAAAGGAGTGAGTTACACTCATAAAAGAATGGGTCCCCTTGAACGTTTTTTGAGCAAGCATGTGACATTATCAATATATTATCCTGGAGGAAGCTTATTCTTAGAGTGCAGAATAAATTAAATAGAGGTGGGCAATCTTAAAATCCCACCTAGTTTTGTAACACGGGTAGCTAAATAACAAGTTTTTCATTTTATAGACAGATTTTCTTGTATTTTTCTTACAGATAAAAGTCTGAATTTTCAACTGGTTTAATAAGTTTTTATACCCTCTACATACACTTTATGAGTCATTTCTTGGTCTTAGTTAGGTCTTAAAGAAGAGGAGGACCACCTGTTTCACATTTTAGTATTTTAACCTGTTTTTTTTATCTTCAATCCTGACATCGTACTAATTATAACCAAAATTTCTCCTAATCATTCAATTTATTTCACATTGTTGTCTATATTGCTGTTTCTTAGTATTCTTGTTACTAATCACTGAGCTACTTAAAATATATTTATTACCATCTCCTTGATAATTAAAAGCACTAAAATATAGTAAGGCATCATGGCTGTTTTTAACTAACCTACATGGCCAATTTTGGCCTAAGTTTTTTTCTTTAACCATCCTTAGAGGAGCATTAGCATGAGTTTAAGAGGAGTAATTTTAAATGAATGTGGCCTGACTATACGCTCTAGGAGCTGCTCTAGAAGGAGACAGATACAGTAAGTGAAATGACCCTGGCATCCCATAACTCATTCTGTCATCATGCATCACAGGGCCTCACTTCTTATCTGCAAATCGAGATGGAATTCGCTTACACAGAGAGAAAATATTAAAAAGCCAAGATATATACTATGTCAGTGCTTTTCTAAACTTAACTTCTCAACAATAATTTCACATGTCAGTATATGTGAGCATGTGCTTAGGGAAAATCTAATTTTTAAAATGGGTAAAAGTAACTAATGCTATCTTTTTTCCCTTCTAGGGGCAATTGGATTGGAGAAGCACCATATAAAGTAGGGGTACCATGTTCATCTTGCCCTCCAAGTTATGGGGCATCTTGTACTGATAATCTGTGTTTTCCAGGAGTAACATCAAACTACCTGTACTGGTTTAAATAAGCTTACCTTTTCCTCCAGGAAGTAAAATGCTTTCTGGGAATCATAGGCATATATATATATTGAATTTTGCACATATTATACATATTTTATAATAATCTTGTTTTCCTTTTAGTATTCATTTGTATAGATTAGTGTTTGGTATGTTTGTTTAATTTTTTTAGATAATTAAAACATCCGTTTCTATTTTCTGACCTCTAAGCATAAATTAAAATATTGTATATGTAGTAATGACATATTTGATGCATCCAATTCCAAAACTTTCATTCCAAAAGAATTATATTATTATGTTCCTAAGGAATAAAATTTATAGTTGATTTGTAATGTGTGTATGCATATATATATACACCCATATACATATATGTGTGTATATGTATATAGACGCACATAAACGTTTAATATGTGATGTAATACGTAGATAATAATATGATTCAGTAGTTAACTTGAGGAAAAATTTTTAAAAGATTCTAAAGTATATGTGAGGTGGTGGGATATCTTCAGCACTCACAAAATGATATTTTGCAAAATAGCACTCAGTAATATCTGGAAATAATAATTTAATTACGCAGCCATAGATATCATTCTGGAGATATTTTATTTGGGTTCACCAAAGGATATACTCAACTTATGTAAGTTTTCAAATCATTCCTTTTGTTTAGTCTCCTTTTATTGAATCAGTAATCACGTGTTGAGTGCTCAGTACATGCAAGGCACCCTGCTGGGTATGTTCTGATGATGCAAAGATAATTAGATATGGTTCCTGCCTTCAGGAAGCTCACAAAATATTCAGCAAATAATGCAGCTTAGTGATTTTGCTGTAAACCTATTTTTTTTTTTTTAACAAATTGATCTTCATGTAGTTTTGAGGAAGTGAACACAATGCTGTGTAATATGTAAGGATTTTGATTTCCTTGAAAATTTAGCTGATTAACAACTACCAGAGATCTCTGGAGCAGAATATATAGTTGTGACTTTAAAAAGCTAGAAAGCAAGACCCTCGGAAAAATGATGAGGTCCAAGAGAAGTCAGATTTAGGGGACAGGTATGAAAAGTCACAGAAATAGGGCAATTGCACAGCAAGACCAGGTGAGAGCTTTAGAAGGGCTTATCCTAAGGGTCTAGTACATCTTCAGGTCTGTCAGCAGGGGCGAATGATTCCAGAAAGAGATGCATGGGTTGCTGAGGACATCTCCATCTCTTCACTGTTTTGTTCATCATTATTTGGTAAGAATCAATCTACTTATCATCTTGAGTCTTTGAGTATCATATTAAAGATCCTTCATGCATACCACATACAATCATGATTTTGTTAAAGTGGCCCTCTTCAGATGTTTTTCCAAGGACTAATTATCAAACTTTATTTCTTGTTTCTGTAGAGGAAGAATTTTCAGTTCTTCATTAAGTTTGATTATGGAAATCAAAGCAAAGTTGCTACAGAAATTTCACTTATGTGACTTGGAAATGCAACATTTCCTCACTCATGAAATCTCTTTTAGAGAGGAGAATACAACATCTGGGTAAAGACACGTAACACATTACATTTTAAATATTTGTGTGTGTGTGTGTTTTATTCAGATTACATAATGCTTCCATAGAATTATAGAACACATAAACTAAGTTACTTCCAGAGTGCAAATTTAAGATTTGTTTAAAATTCCATATACATTTTGCAGTTTCTTAAGGTGGATGCATTGAAAGATGACATATTTCATCAAATCCACTCAATGGGTAAAGACTCCACCGTCTAGAAATTGGGTCTACTTGATGACAAATAACTGGCTTGATTACTTTGACAAATTGAACATGCTGATTAAAATATTTGATGTCATACTATTCTGCCTTTGTGGGTACATATATAGACTATTAAAAATAAATACTTTGGGGGAATAAAGTGGAGAACAAAAGTAATTATATAACTTAGGTCCCAGTCCAACTCTCATCTAACATATCCAAGCAATTGGAAGGAAAGTCCATTAGTGGGATGTTTGCTTCACTTATCTAGAAAGTGTTTCCATCCTTTACGATATTAGTTTTACAGAAACAGTAGCAGGTACTATTGAATAGAAGATGACTGTTCTTAGTTCCAGTTTCTGTTGCTGGCTTGCTTGTGTAGGTCGGTTTCTCAGTTCTAAAGAAGAATAATGATATTTGCTACATATTTCACCAAGGTTTCTATGAAGGTAAATTTACCATATTAATAGAAATTTATTAATATCATCAATATTTTAAAACTTTTATTTGAGACAAAATTGCTTCTCATGAGCTCCTCTTTGGCAGAAACTGTATCTAATTCTTTGTATTTATCCAAGCTTCTTAGATAGTGGTTGTAACCTAATGAATGTTTAATAAATATTTATATGAATGGATTTTTACAATTAGCTAAAAAGTCTAGAATTTCAACAATCTAGAGGAATCTCACCTTTCTATGCGTTATTAAGACAAAAATGTCTTAAATATAAAGCTTTAAAGGTACCAAAATCCAGATAAATCATTAAACATACCAAATTAAGACTAGGACCTACACAATTATAAATTACATTTTCATTATGGTTCTTTCCAAACACAACTAGAACTACAGGTTTATTTATAACTTAACAACTCAGCTGAAAATATAATGGGTGTATTTGTTATCCTACCTGTACTTTTTAAAGTTTGTCATATAAAGTGGCCATGTGAAATATTTTATTTTACAGGTTGAAGAAATGAAAGTTTGGTAATATAAACACACCGTGTCATATTTTTCACAGCATTCAACAGTGGTGCTAGAATAGTTATTTCTCACTGTAATTCCCAGAGACAGAAAGGATCTGGGTATAAGCTATTTCATAAGAGCAGCTTTAAGTAGTTAGTATAGAAGTTTTCATGTGGAAAGGTTTCATTCAAAAGAAATAGTAACTGGCATGCATATTCTATAGCACCGATCCTCTCTATAGTGTAGATTTTTTTTGTACTACCATTTATTCAGTAGAAAAAGAAAAATATCTGTCACAATATTTTCAGCCTTCATTGTTATCAAAAGACTGAAAAAAAATGACAATTTTTGCCATTAAACCAATGGGTTTCTTTCCAGAATTGTCTGCCAGTTGTGTAGGCACAGTGCTTATGTTCCTGATTTTAACAGACAAACTCGCTTCAAAAATGTGGAAGAAATGATTATTATTAGAGTTTTTTCTTCTGTTCATAGTCTAAGCATCACCACGTCTGTGGCCAATGAGAGCTGCCCTATGAATTTCATTTGGCAGTGCTGTCTCATTCATTTGAAACATTCATGGAAACATTCAATTAAGAATTCCATACAGCTTTAGCAGAGAGTTGACCAAACACTAGTGCAAGTTCAAACAATACAATTTACTCGGAATATTTGAATTGAAACAATATATTTTTTCTCATTTATATGTGACTTTCTAAATCAGTTTATAATATCTATGAAAGTAAATCCAATACCTTTTTAAGCCAATTTAAGTGTTTTATATTCATACCCTGCTTATTAAATAAATGCACAGGCTAAACAGATCATTTGAATGTGGCCATGAAGGAAAAGTAATGCTTAGACTTTGGTGTTACGTTTTCCCCCGCATACCAACATGCCTTATTTTCTACAGTATCACTTTACAAAGTGATCTTGAAAAAAAAAAAGTGATCTACAGCAAATCTTGACCTAAATGGAAGCCTTCACCTACTGAAGTGTTTAGGGAGAATAAAGTTACATTTCTGTCAATGTCTAACATTACCTTAACTTTTATAAGTTTTATTAGTTTTGTATTATAATTATATGCGTGAGTGAAGACATTTAAACACATGCAGAATGATTTTTAAAAATTGTCATGGTCTTACTTTGACTAATGAGGGTCAGTCAGAAACTTAGAAAGTTTAACAATTCACTGGTTAATGGTGCTGAAAACACATTACAATTACCAAATCCTTGCTACAATTTTGAGGTTTTTTAGCAAAGTTTTTATTAAGTGTGAGCCATCAGTATCTACTCTGGTGCTAAATATATGGTGCTAAATGAATTGTTGGTGTTAATGGCTTTAGTAATGCTCCTTTTATTCATTGTTAAAAGTGTTATCCACTCAATTCCTGATTCAGAAATACTAATACATGTCTATATTAAATTAATCTTCACTAAAAATAGGCCAGTGAACTCTGTTTTTTTTTTATTTAACAGTCCAACATCATTTAGGTGTTATATAATGTAAATGTATATTTTTAGAAGTTATCAATTTTATTTTTTAAGGCATTTTTTAGCTTGGTAATGTTCAAATGCAGATATTCCCTGAAGGTCTGATTACATCTGCACTAACTATGCTGCAGGCACTGGCGCCCTCTGGTGTTTGTGAGAACAAATTCTTGATGGTTACTCGGCCGACCGCAAAGCCATTTCTGTTCAATACAAATATTTGTGCAATATTAGAATTCTCAGATACTCCCTAAATCTAATAGCATTTAAAAATGCTTGACTCTATTGACACACATTTCTAAGAGGATAAAACGGAGTTAATACATTCTGGCACCAACTTTCCTAAATAATAATGTTTTTCATCATTGTTCTGTTCTGAGGTGCTTTTTAAAGTGTTTTGTTTCTTTTCTGAACCAGATATTGCTAACATATATATTTTTTTTGGTTTGCATCATAGGTACAATTATAATTAAAATTATCAAACATAATTATAATCGTGTCTCACTTTCAGAAGCAATAATTTATTTTTATTTGCACAGTACATAAGATAAAAAGGAGATATACTAAAATAATAATGAATTCCATATATAAAAGGATTATCTCTCGAACTTTAATTGTTGGTATGAATTTTGACAATGTTACTTGGTCATACTATTGAGCCAATTCAAAAGTCTTTCTAGCCTAAGATATGTACATAAATATTAGAATTATATCACCAATGACTAATGAAGGTAATTAATATTCTCAGGTAAACTTTCAATTGAGATATGCAATTGACTGGGTGTAATTATCTGTTTTGACAGATTTATTAAATTATGTTAGTATAACAAAATAAAATTTACTTTGAAGCTCTTTTCCAAATTAATATTTTCAAACTTAATTTAAAGCAAGAGCCTTTTCTATTATCTAAATCATATGCAAAGTTCCAACATATAATACACATAAAATGGATCTACTCATTCTCAAACCTTTCCCAGTACCTGGAAATTTTCTTCTCTGAGCCACAGGATCCCTTCAAACAGAACAACATTGATCTAAATCATCCAGTTCTCCC